AGCCACTCAACCAGGCCCAGCCAAGTTGACACCCAAACATAACCACCACACCAGTCTTCTTCTGAGGAGTGGGTGGTGGGTTTGAACTGCCAGCTTTCTGACTAGCAGTCAAATGCCTTAGGTACCTTAAAACTCTTGGAGCTTCTAACCATTAACCCTATTGCAAAACCACTTCCACATTTTAGGTATCTGTTACAGCAGGACCCCACTCCTGGTACCAAATTCTGCCTTAGTTGTCTAGTGCTGCGATAACAAAACTATCACAAGTGGTATTTCAACAAACAAGTTAATTCTCTCACCGTTTAGGAGCCCAGACGTCTGAATGCAGGGCGCCGGCTGCAGAGGAAGGTCCTTGTCTCTTCGGAGCTTTTGCTCCTGGTGCTCATCACGTGATCTGCCATCTCTTTCCCCGGCTCTGCCTGCTCACTCGCTTGTCTGGTCTCTTTTATAAGAATCTCAAAAGAGACTGGCTTGAGGCACACCCTACACTAATCCTGCCTCGTGAGCAGAACAAAGACCACAGACATATTTTTTGGGGACAGTTCAACCCGTGACATCTGCCCTCACAGAGCTCACAATAAACCAGTATATGAAGAAAACTAATGTTTGTAAATGATTACTGTAATGGGGTAAAGTAAAGCCGGTTGAGGAGACAGGAGTCAGATACAGGTGACGGCAGAAGAGGACGTGGCATCTGAGTCAGCAGGTGACATGAGAGCAAAGACCTGAAGGAGGTGAAGGCTCAGCCATGCGGCTGCTGGGGGAAAAGCATTCCAGGCAGAGGGAACAGCAGGTGCAAAGTCTTGAGGTTTGAGGGACAGAGAGTGGCTGGAGGAGAGGAGGGAAGAGAGAGGAATGGGAGGCGAGGTCAGGACAAGGACTTGTAAGTCTGGGCAAGGGCTCTGCCTTTCACTCAGATAAATGAGAACCACAGGAGGGCTCTGAGTTAAGCACGGCCTTTGACTTCACTTTTTATTTTATTTTGCTGTTGTTGAGAAAATGCACATCTGAACATACCCCGATTCAAAAACTCCTCCCTGTCCGACTCGGCGACGTTGATGATGTTTTTTGAGTTGTGTGACCATTCTCAGTCTCTTTTTCTGAGTTGTTCCTCCCCCAATGAACATAACCCACTGTCCCCTAAGCTTCCAATCTGACCTTTTGAGTGGCTGCTGTCATTCTGAATCTGCAGAGACAGTTCTTAAGAAGAGGATGATGCTCAAGGCTGACTTACGTTTCACAGGATCCTGCAGACTGGGGCCAGAGTATGGGAAGTCAGGGCAGAAGCCGGAGCCCAGACAAGAGTCAACAGTGATAGTCTAGTGGGAGATGCTGGTGGCTGGACCGGGGGTGGTGGTGGTGATGTGAACAAGGATTTCTCTTGAAGGAACACCATGATGGAGGAAGCTTGAGGGCCTGTGGAATGGCATAACTGAACCCCTCATCCACCCTGGGGAAAAGCGTAAGAGGGTGACTCAGGGCCTGAACTGGAAAAGCCTCTGTGAATGTCCCAGGCCCTACTCCAATGTGGTCAACAGAGAGGCCAAGCAAGTAGCCCAAGGTCACACAGCCAGTGAGTCAGCACCGGGGCCATCCTGGGACCCTGCTCTCCTCCCGGACTCTGCCTCTGTTCCCACGCCTCAGGATGGCCAGCGTTGCCTGCCCTGGCTAATGGTGTCCCCTCCCTTCCCTGGCCCTCAGGGGTCACCGGGAGCCCTTCCACAACCAGATGAGAGGGCGGGAGGAAGCCCCAAGCTGGACAGGCTTCACCCCGCCTGGTAAGTTTCCTTCCTCCCTCCATCCCCATGGGTGTGTAAACAGGCTCCAGGCTCCTGAAGACATGTGAACCCCCCCCACACCCACCCACCCACCCTTGCCCCAGAAGTTTCCAGAAGAGGTTCCTGGAAATCCTTCTCGGAGAAAGGAGAGGAGGGAGGAGGGGAATGGGAGGGAAAAAATGCACTTAGTGAGGAAAGTGATTTTGTAGGGGGTGGGGAGGGGAGGGGAAGGAGGGCATTTAGATGCAGGAAGTAGGGGGAGTATGGTATTGGTGGGGAGAGAAGAGAGGGAGGCCTGACATTTGGGGGGCTTAGTGGTCTTCCCTAGGTCTTCCCGGGAGCTCTGGTAGCATAGTGCCTAAGGCACTTGACTGCTAACCAGAAGGCTGGCTGTTCAAACCCACCAGCCACTCCTCGGAAGGAAGGTTGGGCAATCTACTTCCATAGTGATACTGCCTCGGAAACCCAAGGAGGGGTCGCTATGAATCAGGTCCAACTCGATGGCAAATAACAACAACAGTAGTCTTCCCACCTCATCCCACCACCATAAAGCTACTAGGATGGAGATACAGGGGCCCAAACCTTGTGAACACGTTTTGCTTGGAAAAGCAAAACCAAGCTCTGGACACTAATTATTATTGTGTTGATTCTGACTCACAGTGGCCCTATCTGACAGAATAGCACATTTCCTAGGCAGAAATCTGTATGGGAGCTGATCACCAAGTCTTTTATTTTGCCCTCACGCAGAGCTCCTGGGTGGGTTTCACTGTCCACCTTTCAGTGAGGTGCCAAGCGCTTAAACACTGCACCACCACCATTCCCACTCAATTGATGCATACTTTTTGAGCACCCAGTGGGTGCCAGGCACAGGTGTAGGCGCTGAGGACACAGGAGTGCTTTATACAGAATAAAAAGCAATGTTACAGGTTTGCAAGTTTCTAGACCTGCCTCGAGCCCGTGATGGGACACCACAGCGGCCATTAGGTCCTTGGACCCCAGGCCAGCACCCCCAGCGGCCCAGAGAAAACGCTGGGCTGGGTCTCAAGAAATCCCAGCCTCAACTCCACCCTGATTACCTTTGGAATAAATGCTTTTCATCCTGCGGCCTCAGTTAACCAGTCTGTAAAATGGGGAGATGGCTGGTCAGTCCAGAAGGGATGAGCGTTCTTAGTAATTTCAAATAGCTGGGGTCGCACAATGGAGCTCTAGTGGTGCAGGAGTTAAGGCATTCGGCTGCTAACCAAAGGTTGGCGGTTCGAACCCACGAGCTTCTCCCCCGGGGAAAGCTGAGGCTGTCTGCTTCCCTGAAGACTGACAGCCTTGGAAACGCTCTAGGGCAGGTCTACTCTGTCCTCTAGGGGCGCTGTGATGGCATTGGGTTTTGCTGGTGTTTTTTTGGGATCTCGCAGGCCAGCATCATTACACATGGAGAAACCGAGTTCCCTCAGGGCCAGCGACTTGCAAAGGACACTCGGAGTCTGTGAAGAAAGCCGCAGATTTTCTGAGTCTGCATCCAGAACGTTGGTTTGGTCTCACACAGCTTCTCTGCCTTGTCCTCTCCCCTCGCCTCTCTAGACTCTGTTACCCATCAGCCCTCCACCACCCAGGAATGTCTCTCTTCTCCTTCCTGACCTTGTTTATGTGATTTTGCTCCCTGCTGGGTGAGGGAGGAGAGTCTAGGCTATGTCCTTAAACTCCCTCCTGAACCAGCTCCCTGGGGCCCCTCGCCCCCCAGTGGAGGAAGCGGGGCTGCTTGAGAACTGGGATGGTATTATTAGCCAAGCAGCCACAGATGCAGGCTGTCCCCTGCTGCAGCCTGGGGGATCATGTGCCAGCTCTGCCTCCCTCTGGCCTTCAGTTCCCTTGTCAGTTCCTTGAAGGACTGCCTCCTTAGAAGGCACTCTCAAGCTGGAGTTAGCAATAATGATCAAGGAACCCTGGTGAAGCAGTGTTTAAGTGCTTGGCTGGTAACCAAAAAGTCACTGGTTCAAACCCACCTTCTGCTCTGCAGGAGAACGATGTGGCAGTTTCTTCCCATAAAGATTACAGCCTTGGAAACTGTGGGACAGTTCTACTGTGTCCTATGCAGTGAATCAGACTGGACGTGACAGCATATAACAACGGTGCTAATACGTGTATAGTAACAGTGAGATTTCGTTTGTCTTCCTTTGGCCATGTTGTCAGAGTGACCAATCCCTGGAGAAGAATTTCATGCTTGATACAGGGGCAATGGGAGCTCTGGTAGCGTAGTGCCTAAGGCACTTGACTGCTAACCAGAAGGCTGGCGGTTCAAACCCACCAGCCACTCCTCGGAAGGAAGGTTGGGCAGT